TCTTTTTAACAGCCTCGTCTTAGATTCTCTCATTTATTTTTAATCTTGAACGTCTGAAGTTTGTTGTACGTTACAATTTTACGAAACTAGTATTCTTATGAAAGTAGATTTAAGTAATATCTTTATTAAGACAATAATTGAGATAATAACTTATTACATATTAAAAATGTTTTTTAAATATCAACGTCATTAAAAATGTTGATATGGGGTAATAAATAAAACTAATGATTTTATTATAATTGTAAGCATTGCTATAGTATACAATTTTTTATTTCATCGAAATAAATATCAGGTATACAAATATAGCGATAATAAAGGTCATAGTTTTGTCTCATAACTAATGATTTTCATTTAAACTCAGATATCCACATGACAGCTTATAATGGAATAGATTTCTTGAAACCTCTGTAAATAGCACAGCTTTGTTTTACTCTGAATAAATTATACTGACAAATGATACCGTTTTGCCGTGAGCCACCTGCACTTGTACAGTCAATTATGAATTGTATTCTGTTTGTGTTAGGAGCTATTGTTGTGTAAATAGTTTCGGTCCGTTGTTGATTTAATTTATAAGAAAAATATACCTGAAAATTGTATTTCAATGAAACAGAACATCCATTTATATAGTAAATAATAATTAAATTTGATGTTAGGTTTTATTGTAACTGGTGATATTATACAAGAATATATAATAATTTATGATAGTTTCTCTAAAAAATCTACAATAATTTAAACGATATCGTGGTAAAAGTTATTTTGTTTGAATAAAACAGAGTTTTTACATTATATTGTATGTATATTTTTCATAGATTTTTACGTTTGTGTTAAATAATTTATATGTATTGGCATTGTGACATGCTCAAATTAACCTAAAGAGCAAACTTACAGCTCCGATTAAACGTCTTATGGTATTAAAACCATTAATCTTCGCAAATGTGTAAGTGACTCGCCCTTGTGGACTTGAGTGGTACAGATGAAAAATTGTTACTTGTCAAATGTAGTCTACTTAATATATTTTGTTTATCAAGAACCGCAAAATAATTAATAGAAAATATTTTTTATTATTATTTGCCGCACCACGCGAATTGCATTAGAGATATTAATTATAAACCCACATGGTAAATCCAATCTTATTATCTGATGATAGAATTCATTTTATTTGTTAGATGGAAAAATGCACTGGCGTTAGTAATGCGCGGAAAAGCGTGTGTATTGTATATGTATATATAAATATTCGCAAACAGAAATGAGTAAAAAGTCACGTCTGGAACTACGTGGTATAATCGTATTTTTCAACTTCACCCCTTCGTTGTAGTGTTAGAGTTCAGAATGAATCAAGAGCGGTAGAATAATTCATGAGCTGGCATTAAGCGGTTTTGTGTCGGTAATTATAGAAATGATTTCACTCATTTTAAATAGGCTTTTAAATTATATATAAGCTTCATCCCATTGTTCTTATCCTAATTATATTAACCATTGAGAACAGATTTTGAATTCAACGTTAAATTAAAAGATTTTTAACCGCTTCAATGCAGTCTATGGCTACCTTCAGATGTTTAACAGATTATAGAATTATAAGGCCTCGGCCTCGAATTTTGCGGGCAGCGGAGCGGGAGCGGGAGCGGCAGGATCTTACGCGTATAATCAAATGGACCGACCCTCGAATACAGCGGTGCCCGCTGCCCGCTAGTTTGGAGAATAGTATGCGTTTCCGTGCCGCCGCCGCCGCCGCTCCGCTGCCCGCAAAATTCGAGGCCGAGGCCTAAGAGTAAAGAAATAAGATTCCTTTTAGAATTAATTTTCATCCATTCTCCTTAATTTTTTCTTTAAAGATGAGCAACATATAAATAATAAACTTTTATTACAATAATAAAAATATTTTAAAAGAAGCGAAGAGTGCTTAGAACAAAAAAATAAAATAATCTAGGTATGTATGACTATCGAGAAATATTATATTAGTTATTGGTCATACATTTATTACAAAATTAAAAATAATTTTTAAAGTAAAAATACTTGTAATTGGTAGCATACTTTAGTTTTTGTTAAATGTGGAAGTGTATTTAAAAGAATGTTCAACTTTTAAATAATTATGAATTTAATTTTGTTAGATGGAAAACAATATTCATCGGTTATCGAATTCCACTCATCTTTTAATGAGCTGTGTCATTCCCATGTTTGATAAAGATCGAGTTATTACAAAAATTCCTCTTAGATATTTTATTGAGACTTCCAAGTCAGTGACTTATCTGTGCCGCCGGCCGACAGATCATAGATCTAGTCTGTCTGAATCAGTTTAGGTGACCCATAAACCTTTTGTGTCCCATTTACAAAGCCGGTTATAGAACCGAAAATAGCTTTTTATGAATAGTCAAAAATTATATAGAACGTCTGGCCAAATTATTTATAGGCTATCATGAAAAATGTTTAAAATATTTTAGATAGGTTTTTTATGAATAAAGGTTAAATAAATTTTATATATTTTATACATTTATAACATTAAATCTAGGTTTAAACATTGGGTTTGTCAAATTCAAGTCATTTTTATATTTCGATTATCATAGTTGATAGAAAACTTAAACTCTTTTATAAATAATATTTTCTAATCAATTTATATATTATCTAATATCAAAATTGCTTTTGCTGGGGTTTAAATTTATGGAATTCGAGGTATTTCTAATACAAAATAATATCGTAAACTATTGATATGAAATTTAAGATGACTAGAGTATCGGAGGAAAATTTTAAGGGAATTAATTGAAAGCTTAATTAAATAATTTTTTGAGTATATTTAACTATAAGTTTTATATAAAACTAATGAAGATACTTATTATGTATATCAAAGACTTAATTATTAACAGTAAACTTAAAAACGAGAATATATACATATTATGTAAGATATCGTACTAATTATTATTTAAATAAAATTCTTATAATAATTAAAGAACGTTTAAAATAATCGCCTGTTTAAACAAACGTTTAAAACTAAAAGATAAAGTGGTTCTCTGCAGTGTGCAGCTTCAGTACAACGACCTCGTGTTGAACTGGGTCAGAATGGCTATCGACCGCCGAATTCTCCCGTCCAGATTGTATTGTTTGATTCCTGTTTAGTTTTAAGATTTACTATAATTATTTTAACTTGGGCCTTTGGGTTTATTGCAACTAAATTCAAGTCATTAATGGAAAAAATATTTGTACTTTATCATCAATTTAGACTTTTATGTTAAGGCATATCAATAATAACAGTACTTTAAGTTAATGCGATATATGTTCGAGTCAAAATTTTGTAAAAATTTTAGTTACATGCTAGGAAAGAATACAAATCAGATATATTCAAATGTATACACGAATCCTAAACTTTAACCCAGTTTCCGTCAGCGACTGAACAAAATGATCCTTTTATGCTCCCATTGTGTTTTGTATATAGTCGTAAAAATATGAAATACGACTAAAAACCAAATGAAACAGAAATAATGAAGCGCTGTTGAGATCTACATGCTGTGCAATTAAAATATTAATGAGCGTATTGTCAGTATTAAATAATTTGTTTTGAGTAAGTTGCTGGTTTCATATAAAATAATATTAAATTGGAACCACAAATGACATATTGTGTATGAAAATATTTCTTTTAAGGTTCTATGTTTTGCAATCTTTTTAATTAAATAATGTCTGTTCTAGTATAAAGAATTATTATACTGAAGTAATTTTTGCAAGGCAATTTGGACAGCATAAGTTAGAGGTCATAACTTTGAATCCTATCGATAATTCTTTTATTTGATATCTTAGATTTTGAATTTTAATTGTAGCAGTATCATAATTGCTTTAATGAGATCGAAGACTTTCGCGAGTATTCATTTCCAAGAAACTAATATTTTCGGATTTTTAAAACTACATACTCCCCACGTTTCGGTTACTTTGCAGTAACCATGATCACGGACAGACAAGGTGAGATGACACTCATCTCGTGTTTATTTAAAATTCCTTTAATATTAAAAATATATATAATTAACATTCATTCAAATTATATTATTACAGCAAGCATAAACGAATTTCATCTTTGTTGAAATTACAATATCATAATGCAAAATGGTTTTCCAAATAAAATACCTTATATGTAATTGATATTAATTGCTCTGGGTCTAATTCTTTATTGTTCGTGTTCTGTCTATAGACTTATTACTGTCCAACCGAATAAAAGCAGTCATTTACCAGGTATAGAACTTGGTGAGCGGGTTCATAAACAAAGTAATTTTGCATTTATGACTGAAAATATTGAATATTTTTATTTTACATATATGTACTAGATATTATGTTTATATTAAAAACGTGGGTTAAATAAAAATTGGTTTCTTGCATTTTGTACTTATAAATACATAGGTATTTTGTAAAATATATATCTCCGTCCATTATATAAACGACTGGTCAGCTTTAAAAATTATGGGTATAATTTTTATAACTGCTGTACTGAATAAAAGAGTTAATATGCGTTTTAGACTTGATTTATTTTTGTTTATATAACAGCTTACTTATGTAGGTTTTTATATTTTGGTTTGATTTATCTTTACAATTTAAAAATAATCATAAAAAAGGTACAGTAACGTAAATTTTGACAATATTGATGGAAGTAATCATTTTAAATATTCTTGTTTGTGTATATGCATTTCGATTTGCAATTGTGTCTTGTAAAATTATGTCTCGCAATAGTATCTCGTTGAAATTCGAAAGTTGTGTCCTTTTAAATTTTATCGAGCTCCAAAATGTATACTTACAAAAAATATATAAATAGTTTATAAATAGTATAATATAATAGTTTACAAGAAATCTTTTTTTAAATAAATAATATACTAAAACCTAATGAGATTTTAGTATATGAAATTATCTTAAAAATTTAGTTAATTTAAGCATATCTAGTACTCTTCCTTTCATATGACTGACCATACTAATAAATCATATTGAAGATATAAAGATGTTTCTCAAATATTTTATTTAATATATCTTTAAAGGAAAATGGGCGCGCGGCGCCGGACCTTACGGCATCGCCGGGGCGCGCACCGCCGGGCCCGCCGCAGCCGGCCCGCGCCAACCACGCGCCACCCTGCGTGCTGCAGCCAGACTTCCGCAAGGTTGACAACCCCTGATATTAAAACTATAGCCAAATTCGTAAACAAATATAACTAGAAATACTCTATTATTAACATCTTTTGACATTGGCACATAATGTTGTAACTGTTGAAGAGATATAATGAAGAATTAATTAGTAATTCCACAGGATAATCAATTTCTCATCCAAGGAATACTCAAAGATCAAATTGGTAGAATTGTATATTATTAAAAGTGATTTTGTTAAAGAATCATTTTGTTAACGTAAACTAAAAATGAAAAGTACGTATGGTAATAAACAAAAGAAAACTTCTAAGATTTATATTAATGATATTCGTATAGAAATAAAAGTAAAAAGCTCATTAAAATGATTATTTTAACACAGTCACAAATTAAACAACCTGTCAAGCTGAATGGTATTTTAATAAACATGTTTTGTTGTTCTGCTTTCATGAACCTTTTTGTTTATAGGTATCGGGTGTCAGTAATGAAATATTCAGGCAAATTGAGATGGTGGAAAACGATCATGATGCCACCACTGCAGCGGCGCTTGAGGTAATTACATTGTTATTTAAAATGTTCGATATAAGTAATGTATAGCATATAAGTGGATTCATACCCAACAATGTATATCAAAACAAAACCTCCTACTTAACTTTGAATAAACAAAAAACTTTTAATCTTTATATGTTTTTATAATTTCAATCATATTATCCGAGCAAGAACTTAGTAATGTTTTTAATTTATGTTTTAATATCTTGATGTAATTAATATCTCACCCTATTAATTTTTGCTTTATAGGCGGTGGAGCGACGCGGTGAGATGATTGTACGAATTCTTGAATTGAGACAAGTCGGAAGAAATAATGTTGAAGCCGCCAAAAAATTTTTTTCCTTACAAGTAAGTATCGGGAAGTACGGAATTATATCCAAAATATTCTAATTATATGGGAATGGAGTTTCCACTCGTCTTCCTTTATCGTGTTTAATATTAAATAATGTAAAAGGGCTCTGAAGTAAAGGTACCTTGAAGTTAATAAAATGCCGATAGCTCGTTACCCCTCGCATGCTGACTAAAGATTCTTTGATGAGCAAATTTATTCATCGATATTTGCATATAAATTAGCATCTTTTTAAAACAGGTAATTTCGCTCGTTCTATTGACCCGAATACTTAGCTCGTAACCTAGCAGAATGAAAGAGCTCACTCCAGACAGGGCTATTGTTCCTGGCCTAGATCGCTGGGAATGCGAACGCAATCTAGAGGAGCATTGTTGGGATGTGCACTCCCAGTTGCCCCTCGCTATGTATTGTGGTTCTTGCGGATTTCTGTGGTCGATACCAGTATACTGTTTATTTATACATCACTGTATATAGGAATGCTGGGGTCAAATTTTTAAACAGACTGGCGTTTATTGGGATTTCAATCATCGTTAACTAGAAAGAAATCGAAATTAATTACAAAGTATTTTTTTATTTCATTTTAATAAAATTATGTAATGTAATTTATTAACTCTCTTTGATTAGGATGCACGTCACATAGTTCAACTAGTGGAGATCGTGAAGCGCCCTGGTCAAACCTTGGGTCTATATATACGAGAGGGAGACGGTGGTGCTAGGACTGACGGAGTGTTCATATCACGAATAGCTCTCGAATCAGCGGTATATAACAGTGGATGTCTTAAGGTTGGGGATGAAATCCTGGCTGTCAACCTGGTGGATGTGAGACGCATGTCTTTAGACGATGTCGTCATTATTATGTCTATACCCCGCAGGCTTTTATTGTGTACTAGACAGAGAAAAGGTAAACAATTTTAAATAGTCTTCTTAATTGCGGTTTGAATTCCCTGTTTGAAGTTTCAATATTGTTTATTTATCAAACTTTTGTTTTATTCTTAGGAAAATCGGGCCCTGGTTCACCATCATTACCGAGATCTGAGCACAAACCACCTCCTGTTGTTGTGTTGAAAAGAGACTGCCGGGACGATGACGATCACGACAGAGTTGATGGACTTTATTCACAGTAAATTATTATTAATGACTTTAAATTTTTTTTACACTTTTAAAAACGGTACAGTTACTCGATATTATGTTTGATAGAAATTTAAAAATGATCAGTAGTTAAACAAATTGTACGTTATTTGTCTTTTAACTGTTGATAGTTAAATATACATATATAAAAATTTATCCTCACAGACATGGTACCTTACGTTCAACGGGAGGTCCTGGAAGTTCTGTAAGACCAGTTGGTGATGGTAGAGAAGAAAGAAGTCGTTTACAACTTGGTGCATTATCACCAGATTCCACTCCACTTGATCTATATTACAATTCAAGACCACCCTCCGATCATGCCACGTGGAGGTAGACTAAAATATTTTAAACAAATTGACATTTTTAGTACAAAATTTTAAATATTTAATATTATTTATACCCTTTTTTTGCTTACAGTTACCGGCCACCTCCGCCAGTTATTACGGAGCAACCTAAATCTACCGCAACACATTTTGTGCCATATGAAAGGTCTTATCCGAATACATTGGAAAGTCTAGCGGAAAAAGTTCATTCCTTTTACCCATCGGAGACTGGAGGGTATATACAGCAACATGCTCAACCTAGGTTAAATTATTTAATTACAATAATAGTTAATATGAGAACGTATAGAACTAAATTAAGTATAGGACTATTTAGATTACACTTTAAAAACTTATATTTATACTTAAAAATAAAATAATATTTAATTTTTAGTAGCAGTATGCGGTTTGGTGGAAGAGTTCCTCGTTCTGGTTCTGAGCAACAGCTGCCAAGGGCCGAAACTCATTCTGACTTTGGCCGTCATTCACTGCTCCGATCTAGTTTGAAAGCCTCAACTGCTGCAGGGCCAGGAGGTTAGGGTATAAAATATATTTTGTAGTGCAATACCACAATTTTAAAAACAATATTTAAAATTCAGCTTCCAGTTTGACAAGATATGGACAACGTTACGGTGGAGTAGGAATGCCGGGTTCGGGATTACCTGGAAGTGGACTCACTGGCACTGGTCTAGGCGGAACTGGTTTAAGTAGTTCAGGATTGCCTTCAGGGTTCTCTGCTACTGGCCTCAGTGGTTTGACTGGATCCAGTTTAGTAGGGTCGGGTTTGGCAAGTTCTGGTCTTAGTAGTACTCTCACGGGAACTGGACTAAGTTCGACACTTGGCGGAGGTTATGGCACTACAGGATTAGGTCTACCGTCATATGGAAGTAAATTTGGAACGACTAGAAGAAATCGAAGCTTGGATTACTCTTCTGATACTGAGGCAACAGCGCCCACTAGAACTCCTTATTACTCAGGCTTGAGTGGTTACAGGAGTAGTACTTTAGGAAGGGACATAGGATCGAAATTTAATTCTTTACCAAGAGATGTCAGGGGAACTGGTCAAAGGTGAGATAATATTGTAAAAATCAATTTCGACACTGATCCATTATTTTACAAATATTTTACGCTTTCTAATAGACTGGGACTAACTAGACGCACAGGGAGTGTACTACAAGATGAACCTGAACCGTTGTCCTCGCGATTAGACTTACGTTCTTCCAGAGGTGAGTTTTGAGATATAGACAAAAATATAAGCATTTATTTTCACCTCACAAAATATGTAATATATGCAGGTCGCCTGCCTTCCTCTCCCTCAGTATTTACATCAGATGAATATCGCGCATGGTTATCTCGAGCTCCATCGACAAGTGCATTATATGAAACACTTCGTCCCCGACTGCCTACACACTACTCAGCGGAAAATATACATGATGCACTTAAGAATGTAAGTTTTCGTAGAGTGAATCAGATTTTGAAACATTTTATTACCTCATATACCCGAAACAATGTTCCTTTTTTTGAAATTACAAGAAAACACATGCCCTTTTATAGATTTTCCTTGAGAACTCATCTTTCGTCTTTTATAATGAGTATTATTATTGCTTTAAAGATGGAAAGTGGAAGTCGCTTTGGATCTTCTCTCGGCTTAGCTGGAAGGCGCATTGAAAGGCCTCGTCATTTACCAGCTAGATCGTTATCATCGCAACAGTTGGGACCGACTGCAAGCGGATCACCATCAGCTCGTCGTGTGAGACAGCTTCTTGAGTTGGGATCGAAGTTTACATGCCCAAATCCAAGTCCTGTACCAACACCAGGTTCAAGACATCAACGACATCTGGATATTAACCCTAATGGTAATAAATTATAGTTGTATAATGACTCTTGAATGCTATGAAGTTATTAAAATTTAAACAAATAATGTTTTTTTAAATTTTCAGAGTTCCTAAAATATAAAGTGGACAAACCCGGTCAAGGAGGTTTATCATCATCTATGACGGGATTGTCTCGTCTCTCTGGAGGCGTGTCTGGTATGCTCTGGGTCCACCTTCTTGCTGGTAGAGGGTTGCGTCCTGCTCCTACTGGCTCCTCACCGGGTTCACCACCCTCAGGACCCCTCGCGCCGCCACAACCTCCAGTAGCACCTCGTGATCTTTATTGTGTCTTAGAATGTGATCGCGTACATAAAGCTCGTACAGTGGTATGTTGGTTTCTCCAATGGCTTTATAGAATTTATCTCTTACAGTATTTGTACTAATCGTTGAATGATAATTCTTAATAAATTCCAATGGTGATTTTATGATTGTGTCAACTTAATTCCAGGTTCGCACTGGTGAGTTGCAGTTTGATTGGGATGAGTCTTTTGAATTGGAGTTGGTTGATAACAGACAGCTAGACGTACTCGTGTATTCCTGGGATCCACAACACAGGCACAAACTTTGCTTTAGGGGAGCTGTGACTTTACCAGATTTATTAGCTCGTTCGCCATTCCATCAACTTGCTATAAAGGTTCTTAAACATTTTTAAATAAATACTATATCCTAGACAAAAAAAATATATGCAATTATTTTCAAGTTTTTTTTTTTATTAAATAAAAATCTTTACATATAATTATGTAGAAAAATTAATATACTCTTCTTTAGATGGAGCCTCGTGGGACGCTATACATGCGAGTCCGTCATACTGAACCACACGAGTTATTCCGTCGCCGCGTAGCGCCTTCTCGCATAGCTCCAGCACCGTTGTTTGGGGCTGAGTTAGAAGCAGTTGTGGCACGGGAATTACGGCCACCGCACGCACCACCCGTACCGTTGGTGGTAAGACGTTGTGTTGAAGAGATTGAGAGACGAGGGCTGGACATTATTGGTGAGAATCATTTTATTTTTTATTTTATTTTATTTTATTTTATTTTATTTTAGGGAAACAAACAATAAGATAAACTTATGGGATATGAATGCACAAAATTACATATATCAGCTAAGTTTCCACTGGTACATACATAAAATCAATCATTAAAAACGTATACTGACAAATTTCTTCGGCAGTTATGAATAAAATCTAACATAAATATAATAAACGAAACAAAAAGAAAGAAAAGAAGTAACCAAACACAATAAACAAAATTGAAGGCATTAATGTCTACATCGGTTAGTTAAATTACAGGCAAAACATTTATACACGTCAAAACAAACTATGAATTGATACATAAATTAATCTTGTTAACTTTATTTTTAAAAGAATACATTTTTTAAAGTAAGAGGAGACAAGAGTTGTATTTTAGTAGAAGATACAGCTCTATAACACATGTGTTTGTAGAATTTTCTTTGAATGGAGTCTTATTCATGTATACAAGTTTTAATGTAAATGTACTTTGCTTATATTCGGCCTCGTTTGACTACTCTGTAAATATTAATATGATGTCTTTTTTTATTTTTGAAGCAATCATTTAATTATTTATAGGACTCTATCGCTTATGTGGTTCTGCTAACAAGAAACGTATACTTCGTGAGGCATTTGAACGTAACGCACGTGGTGTTGAGTTGACACCGGACTCAGTTCCTGATATTAACGTGATTACTGGAGTATTAAAGGATTATTTGACTGAATTGCCGCAACCTCTTATCAGCCGCTGTTTGTATCAAATGACGTTGGATGCTTTAGGTATGAAAGATATCATTTTACTTTTATATAGTTGAGTATAAAAATACTTCCTTCTTGTTGTAGCAATATTAGTAATTTTACTGAGAAATATTACCTACTATCAATAAAGATAAATTCAGGATAAAATACAAAAACCAGGTTCAAATGTAATATATCAAATAAAGGTGATTACTGATGTTTATTAAATTTTGCAGGCGTTTGTCTTCCCGACGATAAAGAAGGCAATGCTCGTCTCATGGCCTCTATAGTGGAATGTCTTCCACGAGCCGCAAGAGCTACTTTGGTCTTCCTGCTTGATCATTTAGCATTAGTTGTGGCTGCTCAAGATCGTAATAAAATGTCACCACAGCATTTGGCTGTTGCTATGGCACCTCCATTAATGTTACATTCCCAGCCACCAGCGGAATTAGATTACCAGCGTCCAATACATGTACTCCAATGTCTTCTTCAAATTTGGCCTCCACCGAAGCGTTCAGGTAATGTAATCGACTGCGTTGATTCTTCTTCATATTTGCTTATGTAACAAAAATTTCGTCACTTTTACTCAGAACTACGTTTTCACTTTCAAAATAATCCTGCAAACATTGTTTTATAACCTCTTAAGTAAATTTGGTTGATTTATATGTGTGTATTGAATACTCTTCCGCTTGGCCATAGTAGAGCTATATTTAAAAAAAAATCTAGATAAGAACACCCTGAAATCTGATAATCGAAAACATTAGTACATGAACATACATGTACTCACTCCAGTTGAAATTTCTATACTTCTAATTTGAAACTTATACTACCATACTAGTAAAATAATGTTTGCAAGAGATTTTAAAAGTACAACTTTTAAAACCTATTTCATTAAATACAAATCATGTTTTTCATACACTGCTTTATATATTTAGATGCAAATAAATTTATGTGCCGGAATTTAAGCCCATATTCTTATATAAAAAATATTATATATATTGGTACTTTTAATGTATCTTAAAATACCTGTTATCGGTAAGTAATGGGAACCAAAAATTAGTATCACATTTAAAATTCCATTTTTACATCTCGATGTTGTTTGCAATGTTGCATGTATGTGGTTTTTGCTATTGCTCTGATTAAACTAAGCGGTACCTTAACGCATGTATGTTTGTAGACAGTTCGGCGCGGCGAGCCAGCAACCGGGCCGCGTGGAAACAAAGTCAGTGCGTCGCCAGTGGCCTCAGCCACCCTCCCCCAAGGTTATTTTTTACTATTGACTTTCCTTTGGTACAAGCCACGTCGAACTGTTCATTGTGTGTTCCGTTTCAATATTTAAGTTCTACAATTGGATTTACTTCTCTCTTTTGTTTCGTGTGTTTTTTAAACTTTCTGTATATCTTTTAGTACTTCGCTATATTGCTGTTAAAGCACATTAATATGAAACATATTTTAATTCTATATTAAATGGTGGTCTTTATTAACTATAGGCCGAGCTCCGCCCTCAGTCAGTCCATATCGGCATCAAGCGGCAGCATCAGCAGCATCTCCGCCGCCAGCTCTCTCGGGTCGTCAAGGAGTCGACCGCTCGCCGCCCGCACATGTTAGTGATACATATTTATATCCTCCACAATTGAATAAAATTCAATAACTCTTGCATCTTCAACAAACTGGTAACTAAATAGTAAAATGCAATATCGTTCAGGTTCTCTCATCAGTCAGGGGAGGCCAATATCGTCCGCAGTCGCCTCTTCGCGGCCCTCTGCCCGCTCCTCCTCGCTCCCGACAGGTGACGGTGTCATCTCCCGGCTCCCCCAGCAGTAGCTCCGGGAGCCACAGCCCCGCCGACACTATCAAGCATGGCGGCTCCGTGTCATCGATACTACGTCAACCGGAACGCGCGAGCTCTCCTCGCGTGTCACCCAGACAGTCACCTCGCGCATCTCCTCGAGATTCCCCGCGCGGGACACCGAGGGAGACCACGCCCCGGGAATCTCCTCGGCCTGCTATACCAGGAACGTCGGCCGGTCTGGCCGTGACTCTGAACTCCGAGCGGGGTTCGAGCCCACGTTACAGCTCCACCAATCCGTTTTTGCAGCAGTATGATGCCGAGGAGGAAGCGGAGGCGTGGCGCGCCGCAGACATATTCTCATCCACGCACACATAGTGCTCATAGCGAATTGAGATTTTCTAGTCAATTTTTTTATTGAATCGAAAGAGTGCTACGATTCTTCTGTATATTATGTTGTTTGACGAGCGTGGTGCGCGTTCGAGAAATGTTTGTTATATATAGAGCGAGTTACGATGTATATTATTGTGAGAATGTTTACCTTCTAACGCGCCGCTGCCCGCCGCCGCTCCGCCCTGTAGCAGCTATAGTGTTTATCGTATTGTATTGTACATTGTATATAAATAAATACGTTTATGTAGGTACGCTCCCATTTTGTACCGTATGGGCGAGGCCTCGGCGGAAGGCCCGAAGCGCTACACACATCATCCCACATATCAGAGGCTTGCGTACACGTTCGACACAAAATTTTGGTGGTTCACTATGGATAACATCATAATATGTTAGGAACACTGATTCATACTAATTATATAATAGTTTAGAAATGTGGGGAGCGCCTAGGCGTTACTCATAGTTAGGATATGATAGTGTCGATCGTGAATCCAAGTCAGTAGCTCGAGTAGGGAGAGTATCGTAGATCAGACGTGCGGACTGTCTTGAGACTGAGACCATATCAGAGTAGCTCCTACTTACGAAACTCGATGGATATCCATCGTAGAACGAGCGATTGCGTGGCAGAAGTAAAGGTTTTAGGCGATTTCAAGTTGTTATCAAAGTTTCGAATATTCCAAATAATCCTTGTTCATTAATAAATTAATAACTTTAATACTTATAACAGTATATTAAACTAATATAGATTTTAGTAAAGCATTTTTACGAGTCGCTAATTCTATGAGGGATGGGATTTTTTTTTAATAATAAGGTTGGTCGAAATCTCAAGATCGGAGGTATTATTTCCGAATTTCGATAAAAAAATAAAATATAATAATTTGTTATGATTATTTAATTGAATTTTAATGAAGATTTAGCAATTAATATTAAAAGTTTATTTAAAAAATGAAGTATATAAAATTCGTAGATAGTGACAAATTAATTTACTGAAAATAGGGAATGGTGACAAAGAATTTAAATTGTTTATTAACAATGGTTTCCCTCGAAGGCCTGCATTTAATGATTAAAGGTTAGTTTAAATTATTAAGAAATTCGCAAGTAATATCTCAGTTCTTATCACTAGCGTCTGCTAGACATATAACAGTGGTAGAAATTGACCAATGACAGCACTGATTAAAATTTCACTGCCATGATTGGTCCATTTTAAATAGAGAACATATTATTATAATGATAATTACACCTATTTATATGTCTTTCGGAGGCTGTTTGGTTACAAATGGCTTTTGAGCAACACTTCAAGAGAAGTTTTGTTATAACTGTTTATAAATAGCATTGCACAAAGAACACGACTGATATGGGACACAACGTTTTTGATACTTTACAGTTTTACCTGTTTCTCATTTGTGATATACTATGCGTTAACCTCGCCTTTTATAACTAAATGTTCGCTCATGAATTCTTATTCTACTCTCACTAATTTACAAATGGGGCATGCCGCCTTCTTATTCTATGTTAAAATAATATTAACTTATAAATAAAAGGTTGAACTCTATTGTATTAACATGTTATGAATGTGCTTATATGAAATTAAATAAACTTAAATATATGAAGAGAATTTATTGCTAGTTTAGTGTTCCGTATGTATGGAACTTAGATGTGGTAGAGAATTCATGCACGGATATTTCTTTCAATACTCTCTTCAGAAGGTTGAATCCATGACAATATGATTTTATAAATGAATTTATGAAAAATAAACTATATGATACGGTGTCGACTTCGTATGAAAACAGCGCTATAGACGCTTCACATAACCAAACTAAATGTAGTCTCATTAGAAGCATATATATCTTATTCATTAAAATATCATGGTATACTTTTTCTTGTAATTTGAACATCTGGCCGTATTATTGATGCATTTTCTTATCCATCATTAAAATCATTTCTAATTCGTAAATACATCATGATAGACGCTTACGTTTTCGCATCACATTAAAATACTGTAAAAAAATTAAAATCACGAACCGTACATAGGCTAACAACACACGGATTAACAAAGAATATTCATTAAACGTGTTATAAAAGTCATGTATAAGATTTTGATTTTCACATCAAACAAAGACATAGTTACAAATAATATGTATGAAATAATAAATGTATATGTGAGTGGAATGTCATAATAATGTTTCATAATAGTTTTACAACAGTGTGTATTAGCCATCAGTATAGATGTAAATACAACTTGAAGTGTCGCTCGACAGTGCGTAGCCGGCGCAACCGCTGTAGTGTGTAGTGGCTCCGGCGCACAGCTTTCGTTGGCTTCGACACGCATGCGCTCTTGAGAGAATATTCTAGAATATTCTAGATCTATAGAGAATATTCTAGATCTATAGATAACTAATTATATGTTGTGAATATAACCTAGTCCTTTAAATGAGATGTTTCATTGTAATTTATATATATATATATATATATTTACTGATTGTTAATATAATAGTTCTTGTTGTATTCGTGTGTGAGATTGTTTAACATACACATTTTGGGATATAAATACTGTGCGATTTATACCGGAGAGACGAAATGCTTTGTAGGTCTGATTATAGCCGCGGATAATAACTTGTTCATTACATTAAAAATAATAAATACATGTATAGAGCTTTGATATGTTGGAAGTCGCTTTAAATGTAAAACTTATGGTCGATGTGAAACAGATTTATATCGCATTAATGTCCTAATTATTTAAATAGTTAATTATTTTTTTCAACTGATCTTATTTATAGATGTTTTGAAATGTTATCAATAAATTCTTTAATATGATAAAATTATATATTTTCATCTCATTAAAGCGATTAGGTGTTAGCAAATAGATATATTGTGTAGGGTAGAGAATAAAAAAAATCTATCAGAAATCTACAAGAAATCCATTCAATAGTATTGACAGATGGTGCCAAAACATTCCTTCCCTTACCTTCTGTGTTCATTTTAAATCGCTTACACATTTGGCAGGCGGGTTTCCGTTTTGTATGATCAAATCAAGTTGCTTTGACTTGATTTGAGTTATCCAAAATGTATGCTGACAGATAGCTTGGAATATATGACGCAGCATCGCAAAAGCAATAACCGATATTTTTAAATGTGTCATTGTATATAGTTATGTTCTATCATTTATGTATGTTGAATGTTCATAGAGTAATTTGGGATGTTTCTCTCAAGGTCGTGTCCGCTGTTTGTTTGTGTTGCGGGGCGTTGACCCCCAAATAATATCAGTATTTCGAAAATTTGGTAAAGTAGCGTTACTACGTACTTAACGTATCGAGTATACGCCGCTCGATGTACGAGCGGCTGGGACACAGACGAAAATAAATAATATAACGTTAATTATGACTTTTATTTACTTCATGCATTATTTTCACTATGATTGTATAGTTACCCTAACGATAGTTAACACTTACTTAGTATATTTATAAATTAAAAGAATTTTCTTTAAAATATTATCCTGGCTTTTAAATAAAACTGAACTCATATTGCATTTTGATTATCATATCTTTAATTTTTATAACATTTAATCCTATGATGAATTAAGTAACTTGCACTTGTTTCGTATTTGTATGTATATACAGTGGAATTGACTTTCAACTGTTCCAATTGGTTAAGTAGATAAAATCAAATTATATTATGTTTTCTATTTAATTATTAATTAATGCTTAAATTTATATTTTTAATAAGATTTCAATATTCGTCCTCAATATAACACAGATTTTTTTAAGATTGAATGATACACTTTCCTCTTATGCTTTGTAGTATAGTTTGCTAATAAGGAATTTATTCATATTGAAAAATAGTAATAAGAAAGTAATAAATAATTTAATATCTTATAACTACTATGAATGACAACTATACAATAACTACTAAAAAATGAGTTTCGAGATTACTTAATGTATTAGGACAGACGTCGCATAGTTTAGTTGTATGTAACACGAAAAAAAGAGTGAAACACGCCTTCATCTAATATAAATGTAGAATGTTGTGTTATATAGAGGTCAAAGGTTTCATTCATTATGACGAATTCCTATTAAAGGAGAAAATAGTTCATTAAGGCATATTACACGTTATCAGGGCACGTAATACTGGATTTGATGAGTGGTAAGCTATGTGAAGAAACCTGCATAATTCATACAAATATGCAATTATTTTGTAATTTATCAACCTAGATTTTTATGGCGATCGGTATTAAGAATAAAAATAAGTATATGAGACAAGATTTTATATCAATTATTAATAATGTATTGGAGGAGTTATCATGGTAAGAGTAATAATAAAAAAGAATAGAAAAAAAGACTGAATTATTTGAAGTATTTACACCTTTATATTATTTAATAACACATGATACGGTACTGAAAAATATATCATTGAACATATATTATAGTTATTTTGAAAAAACTATCAATATTAGATTGGTCACTGATAAATACTGATACACTGGAGTTACATTCACTTTAATATTATGAAAAACTTCTACGACTATACTATTATGGAAAATTCGCTATAATATTATGAAAAACTACTTTTCACTAAACATTCTTAAGTAAAACTGACAATGATCGTTGTAGCTTTATGATGCACTTAAATTTTACAAATAATGTTCATTATTTCTATGTGAAAATCTATCGAGGAAAAGTCAGTTCACTGTGTTTATGTTTTACTCGCTCTTGTAGTATTTAATCATTTCGTATTACTTATTTATTACAATGAAACGTATTTTTAGTTTACTTAGTGAATATCCAATCAAACATTGTAATTAAAATATTTTTTTTCAAATTAACTTTAGTTATGTCATTTTCGTTCAGCAGAGTCAACTACGTCACTCATTATATGATATTTTATACATACAACTGTTTTGCCCGGCAATGTTCGCAAAAAATATTTCTCATATTTAATGGTTTAAATACAGGGCCGTGCCTGGGTATATGGCCGCCTGCGTGCCAGTCTGT